AAATTATAAATCATCTAATACTAATAAAATTGGTTATGCACCATCCACAGAACAGAAAAAAATAAGAGCATTCACACAGAACAGGACAGGGTGGAAAAGTGGACACCAGAGCCAATTACCTGAAGAAGATGAAATGGAGTCCAAAATTAGCAAACTGCTCCTACAGATACACATAAATAGGCACAAGACTAATTTTCTCCTTCAGTCGTAGCCCCAAGAGGACAGATAACGTTACCCATCAGCCTAATCTTGCAAATTAGCACAGGTTGTGATTTCAATCCAAGTATGTCAGGATAATACTATCTACAGAGTACTTTTTCCCTACAAGTGAATAAATCTTCCAGCATCTATACTCAAAAAAAGGTGTTCAAACCAAGTTAAAGCAGCACAATAGAAAAGGCAAAATTTAATGTGTCAGTTTATGTATATACACTATGATTAATTTCCTGCATACAACCTTACATTTTTTTCTGCAGTCTTTGCTTCAGCCAGCAAATGAGAAGGATCTGCTATAAAGATCAATCAGTCATGTAAGAACAGGCATTTGACATCTGCCGTGTCTGATGCAGAAGTGAAAAGATGCTAAATAAAAAGCCTTATGATCGAGGCAAAGAAATTCTGATCAAGGAAATAGGATTTTACCTTTCAATAAAGATGCAGTGACACAAAGCATACCATTAAGATGAGTCATTTTTTAAAATCTGCTGCTCCAGAGCTCTTCAATTTCTGGGCATCCATTATAAAATTTACTTGCAATCCAACTGGTAAACAGCATAGAATAGCTTGAACTGGAAAGGATCTTTAAAGGTCATCTAGTCCAATCACCCCGCAACGAGCAGGGACATCTTCAACGAGAACAGATGGCTCAGAGTCCCATCCCACCTGAACCCTGCATGTTTCCAGGCACAGAGCATCCACCACCCCTCTGGGCCCATGGTTCACTATGTTCATCATAAAAAATGCCTTCCTTAAATTTACTCCTTGTGCTATCACAACAGGCTGTACTAAATGTCTGTCCCCATCTTTCTTATGAACCCTTTTTAAGTACTGAAAGGCTGCAATGAGGTTTCCCCAGAGGCTTCTCCTCTCCAGGCCAAACAGCCCAAATTATTTCAGCCTTTCCTCATAGTTTTACTCAGATGGACAGAGATGAAGCTGAAATCAATGGAGCTATGATGTCCATTTACTAGATAGACAAAACTGGATCTAGGCATTTCACCTCTGGTGATCAACGCTAGTAAGATTTCTTTTGGGTTTTGGAGTTTTTTCCCCAGAGTTCTCTGAATACCATTTAAGCACTGTACCTTGAAAGTCTGAGATGCAACTGTCTTCATAGGTGGCTTGAAAACAAAACACATACAAGGCTTATGCTGATCATGGTAACACAATGACGTGGTTATAAATAAGGTGAACATACTAAACTATCACAGAGCACAGGACAGAGCCACACAATGGTCTCATGCAAAAAACAACCACATATTAAAGCCACAATTCTATTTGTCTGCAACGGGAATATTGTGCTTGTACACAGTATTTCATAATAAGAATGATTCCCTTTCACAGTACCATCATCTTAAGGGTCTTCCTGAAGAAAAACACTCAAAAGCTCAAGCATTTTGTTTGCACACACAGGAATTCAACAAACCGCAAGTTGTAATTAACATGCTGTAGTGAGTTCTATAATGACAAAGTAGACACCTCAATTTACACAGAATGTAGTGAGACCAAAAAATACTTAAATTCCTTCTCTAAGGAAATTATAATAATCATCATAGTAACAGAAATTGGGTTATAGTCTGAACTGATTAAAAAACTGGTTGTTGCTAAAAAGTAAAGGAACACCTTACTCGAATATCACACCTGATGTGTCCTTCATTGAGAATCCTCAACAGATTAACCAGTGAAAACATACTTCTGACTTCTCCATTATTTCAAGACCATTCGTGCTCATACTCAACAACAGAGAAATGAGAACGTGTACAACAAGATGAGCAGCACTCTTCTCATCAAAGCAACATATTTCATCAGCTTATGCCATGTTACACTACTTAGCAATAAAAACCTCATAAAAAAATCTGGAAACAACTCTAGAGACTCCTGAAATAAGGGACATACGCAAATACCTCTCAAAACTTGGTCAAAAAACAAGTTCTGAATGAAGTGAAACTTAAGTCTTACTGAAATAAAACTTAAAAGTCATACCTGAGAAACAGATGACCAACTTCAAAAAGGAGGTGGAGCTGCACAGCCTATTTTCAGCACACAGATCAAATGTCCTGCCTTTCTTGATCTGTCATCCCTCCAACAGCATTATAAAAGATGAACTAGCCCTTATACAGCCATGGATAGAGATAACAAAGCAATAAAAGATCCAAGAGGTCTCTGAGAGAAAGCAATGCAGTCTCAAAAGACTAAATCGATTGCCTCGATTCCTTCAGCTTCCATGATTACTACCAGTTTTAAGCAATATTGTACCCTCCATCAGAGGGAAGCATAAGCTTCACTGCCTGCTCCTAAATTCATTTTTCTAGCTTGGAACTACGCACTGACACTTCTATCTAAGACTCGAACTCTCATGTATACATGTTTTTGTGTGGTTTAACATAAAACTATTCATAAGATTTTCTCCCGAGCAACCTGTGCTCGTGTGTCTTCCTCGGGGCTTACTCACAGTCATGTTTTTATGATAAATAAGACAGTACTCACGAGTCTTTCAGATTGTGCAATTCTTCTTTACGGGTATTTTCTCAAGCTTCAGTGTAGTGAAATTGACAAATAACTCAGAAGCCTCTCAGAAGCCAAATGAGGAGCAAGAATATTTACAAATGGTTGCCCACGCTGTCGCGGCTGGTGCCCTAATGCTGGGCTGTTCTCGCAGCCAGCAGGCGCTCCGCAGAGCCGCCGTGGGCACCGCACCTCCCCCGCCAGGCCCCGGGGAGCGGCCCGCACAGCTCGGGCCCGGCCGGCGCCCGCGGCCGCACCCGATCCCGCTGCCCAGTCAGCATCCGGCCCAACCGCCTGGCAGAGGCCGCGAGGAGGGCGGAAAGGAACAGGGGGCACCAGGTGTCACACGGCCTCGCTAGGAGAGCGGGCGCAGAGCCGAGCGGCCGTTGGGGGC